TTTATAAACCTGCTTAATCTGGAAAGTTTGGGAAAAGAGGCCTGGTTTTGTCAATTGTACAACCGGTTGTAAAACTCAAGTGTGAATATTCTTACGTCTGTATTAGACATTTTCTTTGCAAATCTATTGTTCGATTAAAATGTAAATGAGATAAAAGATGGTGTACACCCATCATGTATAATAAAGCAGATTCCATCGCTACGATGGATTTAATGCTCATTTTTAATGGTGCATTCTCAGCTTCTATTTAAAAATATAATTTAAAAAATAAATCTGTAAAACAAAATGGGGGATATATTTCAGGGTGGGGTAATGAATTCTATTCCATTTTGTTCTGTTTTAAACCTCCAAATTGTATTATCGTTATTTTTTTTTCCCTTTTGTGTTAGAGGAATAGGATTTACACCAGGGATGTTTAGACCGTACGGTCTGTATTTTTGGGTGGGAAAGTTGGAAAAAATGGGAACCGGCTTTGTGATTTAGCCTGAATAGTACATGCGTGTGTGTTTGCTGTAGCACTGAAGTCGAGATTGTTAGCTTTAAGGCTGGTCACAGACTTTAGCTAGTTGTGGTTTGTTTGTTTGTTTCTCCAGTGTTTCAAGAGAGACTTAATAGAATCAATTTGCAATACTTGAAATGTATTTGCATGCAGTAAAATAAAAAAAAAGATGTATCTGCTTAAGCTTGTTTTGTTCTTTTCTTATTGTGTTGGGGCAGGAAAATATGTATTTTTAAATATGGGGCCAGGAGAAATGTTAAGCGGATGTGTTTTTATGTGGTCTTCCAGAGGTTTAGGAACATGGGTAAAGGCAGTTAAGTTGCTGACCAGAATTCATAGATGGTTTTGTGTTATAGTCACTCTCTTGCCCAACAACCTTGTACTAAATATGTGGGATGAAATCCAGCCATTGAATTTTATTCAACAAACCATGTTTCAATTACAGCTTGCTACAGTTATCAATCCAGATGTTGCCTGATGTGGTGCTTTGCTCTACTGAAAAAAGGGGCAAAAAAAATTGAGAGGAGGGGGGGCTAAACACAAGTAAGAAAATGTGTATCAGCCCAATTTTTTTCTGATTCCCAAAGATCAAGAATCTCAAAGCTCCACATGGGATAGTATGATAAATCCGTGATGGTTTTGATGGAAGGAACAATTCAGGAACCAATTGATGGGCAATGTGTATGGTTGCAAAAAATAATAATAAATTGAGTGTAAAGACCCACCCCACTTTACATCTTAAGAAAACAGAACTCTTGGAATATCTCTTCCAACAGGCATCTTTATTAAGAGAAGATGGTTGCAGGCGTTCTAGACAGGATCTGAGGGGCCAACCCCTACCATTCAAGGTTTTAAGTGTTCCCAAGCAGCCCCCACCCCACCGTCCTTCCAGCGATGATCCCAGGTGTTACATTTCCACCCCCTTTTCCTCTCAGCCTGGCAGAAGGGAGACTTCAGAGAGTAGTAGATGAAAGGCGATGGCCATATTGTTATGGTCAGTCCTCTTGGTGAGATCCACATTCAGTCCCTTTGAAGTTTTAATGAAGGAAGTGAGAGCCATAAAACCCCTTTGCTCATCCCCCTTCCCCTTCGTAGTATGACCAAATCCAGAGAGGGCAGAAATGGGGTTTTCCATAGTCGATAATTAGAAATGAAATATAATTGGATTCTGACGTTGAGCTTGTTGACCTGCTGAGCGTAGAATAAGAGACAATTGGTGGAGTTTGAGTCCAGTATTTTGTAAAATCCCCTTGAATGTTTAAGTTGCTCTCCATTTGTTGCATGCTAAGAAAGAACTGGATCCATTCCATCTTGGCCAACATGTTCTAGCTTGCTACCAACCACAAGGCAGATATGCCCCAAAGATCATCTTCCATTCTTGGCACCCCAGCCCCCCCCCCCCGTGCAACAGCTGGATTCCCAGAGGCCAATCCTGCCCCCCTCCCCAATTCTTGTAATCCTCATGGGATGCTTCAAGGTGCTTTCCATGCTTCTGATCCCTGGATGACCATCCTCCTCCTCCTCCTCCTCTTAGCAAAAGGAGACCCAACAGCCCTCCAGATGTGGTTGTGCTGCCCCCTCTGGAATGCTTTGCTCACAGCGGGTGCTGCTGGGAGTTGTAGTTTAGCAATACTGGAAGGCTGCACATTGCAAGAGAGGTTGGTTGCCATCTCACAATTGCAATATATTTGTTTTTTTTCCCGTGTATAACAACAACTGGGCATGAAATAAAACAATCCAGCTTGGTGCCGGGAAGCTTGTTATTCTTTTACTTTCCGCAAGCAGGCGGAAGGCTGAACGACTAGGCCTGAATCACCATAGCAACCAGCTATTTATTGATGGATTCCCCTTTCTCGCCGGCAGGGGGCCGAGCGGAGTTTAACTTGCCTTCCTTCCTCCACCGCGCGACATGCGCACTTCCGGTTGTCAAGCGACCGTGCGGGGCAAAAGAGTGGAAAGGGGCGCGCCAGCCAGCCAAATGGAGGTGTGCTAGTCGTGCAACAGCCGGCCCGAGACTTCCCCCCAATACCCGCAGCTCTGGGGAACTAAGAAGAAGCGAAGCGACCGGGGATGTTTACGGCCTTTCGCCCCTAGGAGCGGCTGCAACGGCGCAGAGTGAAACCCGTTGCCTGCGAATGGAGCTAGGTATGCTTTGAATGGCAGAGAGGGCAGAAAAGAAGACGGAAGTGTCCATCAAGGCAACACGTGGATCAGCCCACGCAGCTGGTTGGTTTTTCTTTTGGGGTTGGGGGGGGAGGAGTGTTGGTCCAAAAGGAACCGGAAGTGGTGCCGCGCCGCGAGCGAGCTCTCTCTTCTCTAGCTCTATCGCCTGGCCGGCCTCTCCTTCCTTCCTTCCTTCCTTCCTTTCTGCCCCGCCCCTTTTTCCCAGCCTCCTTTGCGCTTCTTCCTTTGAGTCGCTTGGAAGAGGGGGGAGAGAGAGCGCGAGAGAAGCCGCCCCTCGGAGGGTGAGGAATTGGGGAGGGGGCTGGGAAAGAGGCCGGCCTGCCCCACGGGGGGCGTGTTGGGAGGGAGGGCTGGGCTGCCCCAAAGGAAAAGGGTGGGAGGGCTGCTCCTCAGGGAGGGGGCTGGCAAAAGGGGGCGCCTACCCTATAGGACTGGGAAGGGGGGGCTGGTCTGCCCTGCAGGGAGGGTGTTGGGGGAAAA